AGTCAGTGCAAGCATTTCATTCTTAATTAGAAATTTAAAAAAGGAATAACAACTCCTTCCTCTTGTTCCATAAAACCAATACTAAGTTGCCAGCATTATTTTAGCTGGATATTTTTAGAAAAATCTGTTGCTTACACATCATGCGATACTCATCAGAAGGAAGATTTTTGGTGACAGCAAAACCATGTGAAAAGCTACTGTATTCTTTTTTTTAAAGACTCTGGCTGGCTGGTAGGAACAGCAACACGAGGAGCCTACGAGGGTCATCTCAGAATCGTTTGGGTTGGAAAAGTCCTTTAAGATCAAGTCAAACCGTTCCCCTACCCCTGCCATCCCACCACTAAACCCTGGCCCTAAGCACCTCATCTGCCCAGCTTTTGAATACCTCCAGGGGTGGGGACCCAATCTTATCCCCAGCAAACTGTGCAGTGCATCAATGTGCACCTCTGCTCTCACCAACTGCCCAACATGGGCTGGGGCCATGACCACAGCCCCAGAAAACTCCCTCTCCTGACACTTTCCAGGCTGTTTCCCTTGGACCCATTGCACTGGTTGCCTGGACCCCGGGCAACCCACCAGTCATCATTCCCACCACAAACCAGCAGTCCCCATGAATGCTGCCTCGCATTTGGTCACACGTAAACAAATCCATCTCCTTTTTGCCTGAGCAAATGGCAACACAAACTCCCTGTGAATAAACCTGTGCAATCTTTTTGCCCTCTTCTCCTGTGTCCCAGACCAGCAAAGAATCAGCAAGAAAGGCCACCAGCCTGCTCTTGGGCCACGCAGTGGGACATGGGTGTGTGGAGTTCCCAGTATCCAAGCAGAACGTACCAACACACTGACTGCGTGTGCATTGCACAAACTGCCCCAGGAGTTTGCAGGACGAACCTACTATCCCAGGAATGATCTATATAAATGAGTAAATACAGACAATATGCAGAAAATACTGTTTAAAGTAAAGCCAAATGTGTAAACCCACATACCGTACAACACCCTGGAAGAAAACAACAACAAAGCACCTTTACATTAATTCCAGAATTGACAATTTCAAAGGTAGCAACAAAAATTCAACCATTCCCCTATTTCGTGCAGCCTACTGTAATTATTGCGAGGAGGAGATGGGAGTTTTCCAGACTGCAAATGTTAAATTATTTATACAACTAATATTGTGGCTTCAAACATATTCACTGAATTCCATACATTATAATTATGTGATGCTTTTTGACCAAAATGCTTTAAAATTTGATAACCGCACAGAAAGCCAAAACACATTTTAAAAGCTACAGTTTGATTTACTTAGGCAAAAGTGTTTTGAGATGGGGAAGAAAAAAAAAATCATTGAGTGGATACATAATCATCTTGGGAAAGCCCTTAAGAGGAGGCATTCTTGAGACGGACTAGTCGCTGGGAGGAACGCAGACAACATATTGGGTTGTGTCTCGGGAACTCTTTTATTCCGCCCCCCCCAACTCTTCCGCACAGAAACAAGTTCCCTGATAAAACGGAGATGCTAACACACTCGCTTGGGAACAGACTTTGCTCTGCGAGCTGACAAGAACTCGATCAAGAAAACCTGATAAGCATAAAATGTACTTCTTGGGCCTCCTTCTTTCAAGAGTGCTCCGTTGCTGCAGTTCTGCCAATTAGCTCCTCTTGCACTGTCTGAACAATCTCTTAATTATTTAGTACATTACCTAGCAGAGAGGAGAATTTAGATTTTAATCAGATCAATAAGCAGTTTATATCCAGACAAACAGCAGCTTTATGAAGGGACACGTACATTCCGTAACTTCACAAGAGTTATAAGCCATATTTAAGTACGTCAAGTAGCATGAAACGCCTACAGACTGAATTTTCACAACAATCAGGCTGGGTTTCATGAACGTAGCAATCTGTAACTTGACGATCAATCTTTTTTCATCACCTTGAGCTTTGAATTAAATGCACACACAGTTCCAGAGACCCTGCGTGCCATTCAGCGGAGTCATCTACTACAATATCTCAGGAACTATTTATAGAAATATCACCAGATACATAGGAACTCCAGCACATTAATTTTCCTTGATCGTTTCCCTTCTGCTTAATCTACTAAGTAGGATTCAGGATTTTAAAAGTCCCAGCTATTGACACCTTTCTCCTCATTCTTTTCTATTACACCAAGCTTAGCACCAGTGAGAGGTGCAAAAAACTGCAGAGATGAGTAAATTCAGATACAGCAATTGTGGTGGCTCTTACAAGCATCAGATCTGACTTTCTTCATTAAATCTACGGGAAGCTGAACGTTCAGCCCTGCTGATAATCAGACTTAGGCCAGGCTGATGTTATTTTCCTGCCTTCTGTCCCCTCTTGGCATACCCAAATCCTACACATTATGTGTCGGCAGAATTGAGGCAAATGAGTAAGGATTCCTTTAGCACATCTGGCTGGTACAATCAATATCCAAACTAGTCATTTAGCATGACAAATATATTGCCATCACGCATACGACCCAGTGGGGTAACTCGTACACAAAGACTTCTGAAGGCCACACTCATGCCTGACCAGCTTACAAATGTCCTGGTTTCCTTTCATGCTCAGGATCAAGGTGAACTACTTGTGGTGAGAATGAGTATCTATAAATAATAATTAGCACTACTCATCTTCAAAGCTTTTTACAAATATTAACTGCTCATTCCTCCTAACAGCCCTGGGAAGCACTGCAGGGCAGTCTTTTATGAGAGAAAACAGGGACGCACTAAAAAAAGAGACATAATCTTCAGGACCAGCCAGAGCATCAGGCCCAGTAACTCACTGGGTGTTACGCTGACTTGCAGCACGTTCTCTACTCAAGCTCCTTGGCTGTGCGCTGGCAATTCCCCTGTGGTTAGCAGGACAAATACTAGCAGGTTACCGTCTTCTTTTGAGGTCTGGTTCCATGCACGTTTCTACCTTCTGGTAAGCGTAAATTGGCTGGTACCACAGAATTGATCATGGAGCAATAAATGAGCACCCTGACTTCTTAGCTCACTTCTCAGTAACTTGTTTGTACGCTTAGATGCTGAAGGACCAGATAGGGACCAGTCTGCAGAGGAGTTGAAGACTCACAGCTTGTAGACAGCTGGATTTTGGGAGCTGGGAACTCATGAATATCAAAAGCCCAGTGTCACATTCAGCATTAGAGATCAGAGAAAGAGCTCCTAAAGAGGCTGTGATTTTTTTTTT